CCTGAGGTGACCTTAGAATGTCTCTGAAGATCTTATCACTTGCTGATATCCATTTGAAATTCAATTTCTAGACAGGAGATTTGTTCCCCTGTGTTCTGCAAATACAACCCCTGGCTAAGAGCTTCATTTTTAGCTACCACAGGATTCTATATCTGGGAAAGTATTCTGCATATATATCAGTGATCACTTATGTGGACAAGATCTATTATATGTTCAGATAATTAAAAATTCTATTTATTTTGTTGTATTTGATGTGTTGCTATTTTAAAATCCATACATTTGTAATGATTAGTTTGTATTTGCAAATTTATCTTCTATTATTTAACTTTTAAATTTAAACATACTTGGAGTGCAAATATTTCAAATTCATTCCATTATCTGCTGTCTTAAAATGACTTTTGGTATGATCTTTGATATATACTGGTGTTCTCTTTGAATCAAGGGCAATTGCACTTTTTGTGTAATTTTATGGAAAATTGGAATGCAGATAATTTGTTACTATCAAATTTTGTTAGAAAAAAATTGTGAGGGGAGGGGCATAGTATGATGATAAAGCATTGCTTCCATAATTACTATTATCATGTAAAATTTCAATTTTGAGCCTAATCCCGTCTTTCATCTGGCAAACATAATAAAGCAAATTGCCTTTCTTCCACAAGCCTTTGATTCTGACCTTAATGCACAGCTTATGGTATCCTGATTCATCTTCATATAACACTTTCCTAGTATGAGCCAGCACAGACTGGATTATTGATCCATAAACTACTGACATTACTGCACGGCTGGTCATTTAAAAACAAACATGCACTCACTTGTAAGTAACAACATGCAAAAAAAAAAAGAAAAAATGGTTGGTTTCTTTATTTATTAATCAGGGGTATAGTTGGAATAAGTTGTTTTTATCAAATTTTAAAGGAAAGCTTAGGCACTTAAATTTAAACTAGTGTTTCTTTTTTTTAAGTTTATTATATTTCAGTTAATTTACTATTTAGACTTAGGTTCTTTTTTTAGCAAAACATTTTTATAGAATTGTTTCACTATTAATATTGCATACACAACATCAACACAATTTTATTTTAATTGATGAATTTAGTACTAGTGACCGTTTCATTCTGTGTAGGAGACTATAAAATTTATTGGATGACTGTGCCTCCTTTAGAATCAGTTGAGATAACACCTTAGTATTGCCTATTGGGGTGATGATAGGCAGTGGATAATTCTGGTACATAGATTTTGCTTGAAGTGTAATCAATATCCAGTTTGGTATAATCTTAGTATAATGATCTACGATAGCTGTAACAGACTGCCAACAGCTATATAATCAACTGAGCCACAGTCAAATGTAGCCATTGAGCGCATTCTCAACGAATTAAGCCAGGCTTTACAAAGCCGGTGACCTAAAAATGGTGGACGTACATGAAAGAAAAACCGCCTAATCTTTTAATAGTCTCTCCGCCTCCCCACACGTCGTCCCTGCGGAGTACAGTAATTAAATCGCGTCTCCGTTCGCCATGCGGAAGCTACCTGAGAAATATTAAGTGCGCATGCTCATCAGTTAAACTCGTGGTGAAGAAAGCATGGCGGCTGAAGGCGATCGAAGGAAAAAGCTCTTCTGTTCTATTATCTTTGAAAACAGAGACGAAAAAGGAATAATTTGGCCCGTAGAGCAGCAATGAATCGACTATCTACGGAGATAATATCACCAGAGATATTCACGGAAATATTAATGTTCGGAGCCGAGATTTAATTACTGTAGCCCGCAGGGACGACGTGTGGGGAGGCGTGTGAGAGGCGGAGAGACTATTAAAAGATTAGGCGGTTTTTCTTTCATGTACGTCCGCCATTTTTAGGTCACCGGCTTTGTAAAGCCTGGCTTAATTCGTTGAGAATGCACTCATTGAGTGCATTCAGAGCAGATGATCTGAGGACTAACTGATCTGACGACTAAATATGGCTGACCCCACTAAAAAGCAAGTGCCCTAATCCCTGATGGTCTCCCTAGGCCTGCTTCCACACATACCATTAATTGCTAGGGCGATGCAGTGATGGAGGTGGCCATGGGGAGGCCAGCAGGGAACTAACTGACTCTGCTTTTAAGTGAGTCAGCCATATTTAGTCTGCAGATCAGTTAGTCCACAGATCATCTTGTTCTAAATGACCTCTTTCTTTCTTAGACTAGTAACATGTATTTGATACACACATATACACATACACACATGGTAAATAATCACTTAATTTGAATGGAATTAATTCATTGAATTCTTAAAAAATTTTATTAGAATACAGGAAGAATTTTTTTCAAGTATTCTGAAAGTTGAAATGATTTCTTGTTAGTAGAAATAAAATGTTGATTTACTAGTAGGGTGTGAATTGATGTAGAAATTAAAATCCCTTTTAAAACAGGTATATTGTTTGAATTAAAAGGACTTTTGTTCTTGCATTTCTTGACACATTTGGAGCTGTTTTCACGAATGAATATTCCTTTTGGCAAATGTTGACTTACATTTTACAATGAAAATTAGCATGTCCTGGAAAATTGATTATTTTAGCAAAAAATGTCATTTAATATTATGGTATATCTGTAAGCCATCGTGTTTATCAGATAACTAAATGCTTCTTTTATCATTTAATTCATTGGCATTAATAGGAAGAACCTATCTCTGACAGTTAGAGAATTGCTTTTATTGTATAGCTTTATATTCTGAAAAACGACAAAAACATTTACTCAGTTATTTGAAGTTGATTTTTTTTCTTATTTCAGATCATTAATATAAGTGACATCATAAGAGCACCAACAAAAGAAGACATGAAAGATGTGTATCCTTTGCTTATCGAAAATCTTCAATATAAACTTATGGGCTTTGAACGTAATGGACAACAACCATAAAAAGAAAAAAAGATAATTGATCATATACTTCTATTCTACAGCAGGATGTTCTGTACATGATTTTATACATTTTCCCATAATATCCAAAAAAAATTATTGCTAAAATAATACAATCTGAGAAATGTTCAGCTTTTGTGAATGAATGAATTTCATGTTTTAGGAATATAAATAAATCAAATTCTTGAACTTCGTGGTAAACCCACATTGCGGTCTCACCCCAAGACATTTCACTAGGCTATGACCTGGATGGACTGGTCATCTCATGTGGCTTAGAATAGTCTTCCAGAGCCTTGTCACAGATATGGGAGAGGTTAAACCTGAGAACTCCTTTCTTGTTGAGTGTAGGACTTCCACCTACTTCCAAATAGCTTCCTTGATGCTCCAGTCTGTCCAAGTCATAACATACAGAAATGAATTGAAACTGCAACATCAGCTGGTTGTTTCACTTTTACCACAAGAGTTCAAGAATTTAATTTCTGTATAAATTCCTTATATTAATTCATGAATTTGTACACTTTTTAATTCCATTTTTCTTTAACTCCTTCCACAGCTATATTGTGCAGTGTTTGATGGAAACAGATATGTACAAATTGTTAAAAACACAGAAACTAAGTAATGATCATGTCTGTTACTTCCTGTACCAGATCTTAAGGGGTCTCAAATACATTCATTCAGCAAATGTGTTGCACAGGGATTTAAAACCAAGCAATCTGCTGCTTAATACTACTTGTGACTTAAAGGTAAGAATAAAATGGTAGCTTAAGGCTATCTGTATCGATCTTTAAAGAGTTATTAACAGAACCTCTCTGAAGATGTTTCGCCCTTCTTCTTCCCTTGTTTTTTTTTGCACTTCTTTATTTCTTTAAATGTTTTTGCAAATTTATCAGTCTTTTTTGTTTGTGTGAAATTAATAATTCTTATTTACAAGATTTACATCAATGATTTTATTTTACTTGACGTTTTTAAGGATTGGCTAATATGATGATATAAGTTATAATTTACATAGTTAAACCCAAGTCTGTATGCAATTTATAATTTATTTGTTCTGTTTTTCAGATCTGTGATTTTGGTTTAGCTAGAGTTGCTGATCCTGAGCACGATCACACAGGTTTCCTCACAGAATATGTTGCCACACGCTGGTACAGAGCACCAGAAATAATGCTCAATTCCAAGGGCTACACAAAATCAAGTATGCATAAACCAAGATATTTTAGTGTATCAGTTTGGTGAAATCTGACACGTTAATGATAATGACATTGGTCTACATATGCTGAAATTGATAAAATTTTATGAGAAATGCATCATTCTGAAAGTATATGAATAGATATTATAAGTGAAGTCTTGTTCCTAGTCTAAATATGTAATATAAGGTCCTCTTGTTGATAGTAGCCAAATAAGCATTATTTAGGACTGGCATTAATGCTTTGTATGTAATGTTTGTTGTTGAATTTGATAAGGTTTCAAATTTTATTCCGATGCAGTTGCTGTTACTCACAAATCTGCTTTTGATTTAAAAGGTTTAGAATAAAGCAGTGTGCACCACCAATATTTTGCCTTTCAGAAGTCTTTTACTTTATTTCAGTTGATGTTTGGTCAGTGGGATGTATTCTGGCTGAGATGCTTTCCAACAGACCTATCTTTCCAGGGAAGCACTGTATCCTTACTACTCGTAAACTGAAAGTTACTTGCTATAAGTTGATTCTCATCTATATCTGAAAGTTTATTCAGATGAAGAATGAAATTGAAGCACACCCTAGACACTCACGTATGCTATGCACTCCAACATTTAATCTATATCCCATAGACTTAATGAAGAAACTGAACAGAATTTCACCATTGTCATGTGACATTATTTATTTAAAAACTACAACTGGATGGATGAAAACATAGTCTTTTACATTAAAAAGTATAATGACGATTTTTTCATATGGTTAAAGCATACTGATGTGCATATATATTTAAGGTAGGGGAACTCTTGTAACAATTGTTATAGCATGATGAAATAAAAGGGAAGAGGAGACAAGTGATCAGTTTGAACTTTAAACTTTGTGTATAACAAAATTCCTTAACTAAGTAGATCTGGATCAGCTGAACCACATTCTAGGTGTGTTGGGGTCACCAGGCCAGGAAGATCTGAATTGCATTATAAATGACAAGGTGGGTAAAGTTAAGACAGCATATATATTGTATGCATTGCTTGCAGAACACAATTCGATTAAAGTGTTAGACCTGGGAAGGGTAATATTTGTGAAATAATTGCTTAATCTGCTATTCTACATAACATAAAAAAAAGTTGCAAATCGTTATAATCATGGTGTGGTTGGTCTTAATATGTAATATCCCTTGCAGAACTATTCTGTCAAGATTTATGGTTGAATGAGCTATTTTCATGAGAAGTACAAATGTGAACAAGTATCAACTGCAGAAGCTGCCCTGCTTGCATGCGGACTGCAGTGTATTGATCTACATGCAAGCATTGAGATGTTGCCAGGAACATGTCAACTACTGATCAGGGTTTCTTGATGAAGCTAGAGGAATCGAAAACAAGCCAGAAATGTTGATAATGTGATGTATTCCTTGTTCCCCTTATGTGCCACGGATCAAAAGTACTAAAGAGTAGTATGAAGGGTTCTCCATTGTTGCTTTGAAATGAAACCTAAATTATTTTATCCAGATTAGTTCTAGGAAATTGCTGAATAGGCAAGCTCAACAGAAAGCGAGAGATTGAAGAACTTTACTTATTGTCATAAAAAAACATGCAAGCTAGTAGACATGAACACACTCATACACAAAGTATTTGTAAGCATATGCACAGCAGTGCAGGGGATATTGAATTTTTTTTTAACTAAGGCAGCAGTTCATGTTTTCCAAAATATCATTTTTGCCATATATCTTTAAAATTTTTCACTTACTAAAAAAATTAATCCAGTTCAGTAATTTGATTAGGAAAAGCCAACTGCATGGAAGAGTAAAAGGTTCCTTTTCCTCAGGGAACTGCATATTGATTTTGAAATATGTGAGGTTATTTTGCGTCATTAGCAATATAAGGCACCTTGTGGCACAAAGAACCTTGAGCCCCTGGTGTAGTTGGCCGTCAGTGATGCAGTTGGATAGCATATGTCAGACACATGGGAAGTGTTTTTAAGATAAAGTCTTTGATTGGCTTTGACAAGGTGCCTTGATCTGTGTTAACAGCAGGTTTCATTTGAATGTGACTGCAGATCAATTGTACTGGAAGCTAATCTAGTGGCAAAAAAAAAAGAATAAAGCAAAATGGCATGGTTTATGGTGTTGAAAGATTCTCATTTAATAGTAGCAAAAAGAAATGCTGTTATGATTTTGGTATTGAGAAACTTATTTTAAATATGTCATTGGCTCTCAACCAATTTCTTGGAATATTATTTCTGATAATTGTAATGCAGACATTAGGAAACAAGAAACAATCCTTCTGCAATGATTTTACTATGCTTCCATGGTAACAAGATATTTCAGTGCAGTTTCTTTGATTGTGTGAGTTTACCTGCCATTTCTTTAGTCTGCTTTTGTAGGTTTGCTTTTAGCATTTTTAAAACTAAAAGCATCATAGACCTACTTCTGGGAGAATTCAGTTTGATTGCACCCACCCATTTAATACTTAAGTTAAGCCTTCAGTGAACAACAGGTGGGCTGCTTTACTTGTTTTAACCAGCCTGACCCAGATCTTTAATTGCAATCTGTCTTTCAACTACCTGGAGTTAGTCCTAAGACAGTTTTGTTCAAACAGTGCTGAATGCAGCTCTAGTTGCCTCAGCCAAACCCTTTCATGCCAAAATTAATATAATTTCATTTTCAGTGGCATCATTTGCTGAATCGGTATTTTCAAGAAAATGTGTGTCCTCTAACAGGGCACTGTTGATGGTATGAATGCTCATTGGTCTGAAAAGATTGAAAAAATTGACAGTTTTGCAAAACAAAGTTGGGCTGAAGCTTGATTGTTCCTGTGGCTTATTGGACTAAAAGTGACTTGGGGTTCATTCCCATTGAAACTATCTAGGTAGACTGAGTTTCAATGGGAATGAGCCCTTGGGCATTGTTCCTATCCGAGATTGTCATTGAACTTCAGATTGGTGTATAGAACCAGGAGGTCCTTGGTCTGTGAATATGTACCCATTTGCAACTGAAGTCCTGATTTGTTCGTCTTTTCAGGCTCGTGGTTACTTGCAGTCACTCCCCTTCAAGCCAAAAGTCCCATGGAATAAGATGTATGCCAATGCTGATGCCAAAGGTATCTTAACTGTCTGTTTGACTAAGACTTTCATTTGCTGAAAATTTACATGAGCTGTTCAAAGTATCAGAATAGTTAAAGGAAAGAATAAAATGTCTAGATATATTAGATAAAAAAGAAAGATCAACTGCACACTCGTACATATAAGATAATGTAGTACATGCTAGTGAGAATTGGTATAATTTTATCATTCCGATTTTTTTTTTTTTTTTTTTTTTTTTTTTTGCAATACTAAACTACCGTTGGTAATGCCATGAGCAAAAAAACAATTTTCCTTTAGCACACTTTGATCTACTTTTTCCATTTTATCAATAATTGCTTTATTTTTCATTTCTTTTCAGCATTGGATTTACTGGAGAAAATGTTGACTTTTAACCCACACAAACGCATCACAGTGGAAGAGGCATTAGCCCATCCCTACCTAGAACAGTACTATGACCCTGCAGATGAGGTAAGTGTGGCAGTTGTGAAAGATTTTGACCATTGTTTGCATATTGACCATTGTTTGATGTTTTCCAACATGAATCAAACTCCACTAATTGTGTGGCACATTCTTTTAGCATAACTGGCTAAAATATATCTGATGTTGATTGCACATATCCGTCTCTCTTGAAGGGGGGGGGGGGGGTGTGAAATATATCTTAAGGTAAAAATTACTATTTCTTATTTATTTATTTATTTATTTATTTATTTATTTATTTATTTATTTTAAGGGAGGGGGGTATACTGAATCCTTTCAGGTTTTAGTAGGAGTTGGTTAGTTCTTTCCAAACAAAGTTTGAATAATTACTTTTTCTTTCTGAAGCCTGTAGCTGAGGAACCTTTTACATTCGAGATGGAGCTGGATGACTTGCCCAAAGAAAAGCTGAAGGAGCTGATTTTCCAGGAAACAATGGCACTGAAGGACCGTCAAGCCAGAGAGGCTGTTGCAGCTGGAGCCATGCAGATGAACGGTAAGCTTGGTTAGACAGCAGTGGGAAAGCCTAATCCAGCATTTAATAGAATTCAAAGGTCTTCTCAGTACAGAAAAAACAGATCACATAATCATGTAGATATATGAAGATAAAGGAAAGCTACTACATCTTATCGTGTCCTGTGTTGTGGTGTGACAATAGAAACTTATCAGAATATCTTCACAAAAAGATACATGATCTATAGCAGGAGACTGTTATGAGAATTTTTTGACATGATTACTGTTATCTTGAGCAGATGTTCACATGTGCTTACTAGCAACATGATCTACTTGTATATCATGTTTTTGACATGATTACTTTTATCTTGAGCAGATATTCATATTTGCTTACTAAACTATGATCTATTTGTGTGACAATTTTTTGACATGATTACTATAAACTTAAACAGATATTCATATGTGCTTACTAACATATTTTAAAGATTCTGTCCATCTTTCCTTCAGGTTGATTATATAAATGAAACAAACTTGGAATTCCATGAACACAGAAAGTTAGTGTGAAGAAGGATGAGAAAATATTTAAGCTGGGTGCTGTCCTGGAAAAAGAAGAAAAACGTGACTGTTCAAATATACAAGCTTCGCATATTTTTACTTTGTACAGTATATGTCTATGTTGTGCACATTTAAATGTATTCCAGTCTCCTGTTATATATTATTATTATCCAATTCCTAAAGTTGTGAAAAGGAGATGTCATTTTTTCCAGAGCCTTATTTTCTGTACCTAAGGAAGCATTTACCACTTAAAGAGTTTTATATAGCATATTGTATAGGTTTGCACAAATAATGTATCTACATTTTCTTTCACGTTCAGCTCACTTTGTAACTAAAAACATAAATGTTCATAGCATTCATATAGACAAAACAGTGAAAAAAAAACTGATTTGGACGTATGATGCTGTAGTTGCTTGTACATGTATTAACATCAAAGTTTGGTCAGTGCCACTTCCGTCTCAAGCTCACTGAAATGGATATAAAGCAAATGTGCTAAAATATGTATCCCCGTTTGCGTAAGAACCTTGTGCTTTAACATGTCCATGTTGACCTCTTGGTTCAACTTCTTTGACAACTACATTGACTCTACAGCTGTACATGCTTCAATCTTTCATGGAAACTATGAAATATGTATTCAGAGGGATATAGACCTGAGATTGTGCTTGATGCTTAGGCACTCCTGTTTTATTAATTGGGAGATGTGTTTGAAGATTGGTTATGCTTTTTGTAAAAATGTTCAGCTAAAATGCACGGTTTAAAGAAGGAAGGTTTCTGATTTTTCTCTCCTATATTCTGTTAAATTTATGCATCATGTCATAATACAAATTAAGGACCTGCCACAGTGTTAGTAGAACTGGTATAAGTACTTTGATCAAGTAAGTCAAAATTGGTCACATTTACTTGTAACACTGCCATTGGATATATTACTAAGGTCAAGGAGTGAGGGGGGCTTAGAAGTGAAAGAAGCAAAATATTTTTAATGTACAGACTCCGGTTGAATGTATAATGTATTTGATGTGGACTAGGATAGTGAAATAAGCCAAACTTGCATGCCATGATGTACATTATATGCGTGCAGAGAGAATTCTCGATATATATTACAGGCTAGTTTTCACTTTGTCCTACTCCTAATGCAGACAATAATATGCTTTATATCATTGACTATCCCACCTAGCTTTTCGTATCGATCTTGATTTTGACCCATACTCTTCAGGAGCCATGAGTATGGCAAACATTTTTATTGTATCACTGTTTTAATTTCCTTCCAAGCGGTCCTATATAGTCATGAGGTTGCTTTACACAAAATTTTAAAAAATTGGCCCTTTAAGGGTTTTCTGGAGTGACATTTTTTCAATGAATTAATAGCGTTTTAACAGACTGCTTTAGGGGGATGTCAAGTTCCTGTTTGGGCGTTGAAACTGGTTTAATTCTAACCAGTTGATTCATATTTATGGTTTTTAAGACTAAAGTTAAGGCAGTCCATGTTTGTCAAGATCAAGAAGTCCATTTCAATTTTTTTGATTATTGGCTTTCTGATGGTTACTACAGAAACTTAGAAAAAAAATGCCAAATTATATTAAACTCAAAGTGTGGATGTCAGTTTTAAGGTTAAAATCAGCACAAAATCTGCACTTCAAAATTAGTCTTAAAAACATTCCACCCTGAATAAAGTCGAAAACAGTCCCCCCCCCCTCCTTCCCATCTTAGATCTTCTTGTTTAGCAAGCTGTTAGGATGTAGATAGTTCTGCAAAGTCTTAAGAGATTTTGTATACTCATTTGTATAGCAGTGTGCAACTGAATGGACTGAGTCCAGTGTAAGTGTGGCATTTGTAGTTTTATATATGGGAAGAGGTATTTTACATCTAAGTAGATACATCTATGATGACAATAGAAAGTGTTGTTTTATATTAACAGCTGTCCTTTCTCTTAATTTTCAGTCTCTTTTGGAATTGTTTACTATTTTAAAGTGTAATATTCCAAACTTTTTCTGATATTTGTCATCTAGATCATGGTAAACCCATGTTCATGTTCACATTTCTTGTAGAAAATCATGTAATCAAAAATTTTAAAATTGAACTCAGTAAAAATTGGAGCACGATCCTTGATAGAAAAGTCTATTTTGTTACTGTCCTGTAGCTGGTCTAGTCTTGACATTGTAATTGCAAGTTGGGAGGCATCATATTGTCAATGTGAAGAATAAAGTCTGACCAAAAAATCATACATGGTGATTTTGAATTCTATTAGTTTCACTTATTAAATGATTTTCAGGTGCATCACATTTACTTGCAAAAGGGTTGCCAACTTGTGCAATGGATTTAAAACCAGTCAAAATAGTTCCATCTTTAGGCAGAGCCATTTAATTTGCTCTTATAAATCCATGTGGATACCATTTGGTTAAGTCGTGCATTTTAAATTATGTACACTGAATGACAAAAATAGAGGGGCAGATATTTTCAAATCCAACTTCAAGTGCACTAATGTGCAATGGATATGTCCCTTAGGGTTACCTGGTGACATCTAGTCTACACATTGCAACTGAGAACGACTGCCTTTGATTTTGAGGTTTTTAATCTCCTCTGTGGGGAAACCATCAAAGCTGCACTTGTGGGTGTTGCATAATATCCTTTCCCAGTCACCCTCATTTCAATAACTAACAAAACAAGGTCCGACACTAGAATCTAGTGACCAAGTGCCTCACATCTCATTGCAATTTAAGCAACTGAAATGGAGCTCACAGGGAGAGCAATACATATAACAAGCCTTGATGTATTCATATATTTTTTTTTTATTCAAAACATGAAATATTTCCCTTGATCTTCATGGACCCATACAGTGGCGGATTTGGGGGAGCGGGGAGGTGTTGACACTCCCCCCTCCCCCCCCCCCCCCCTTCGATTTCCGAAAAAAATCACAGTGATCCCCTGTTGAAATTAGAATTTTGACTAGCTGAATCACAGTTAGTTACAAACTGCACCATTCGCCAAATCGTGGTCCTTCAGCAGGCCCCAAACCCCATGCCAAGGGGCTTGGCTTTTCATCCGCAGACCCTCCCCTTTCCTTAAATGATACAGTAAGAAGAACAGGTTACAATTTCAAGTTTTATTTTAACAACTAACTTTTGAACAGTAATACAAAATTTGAAAATGCTAAATTCGACTCGTTGTTCGAGATTCTTCTGTAATCAGTCAGTTAAAAAAATAGATGATACCCAACTAATACAAAATGAGTTATATACAACATACTGATAAATGTTAACGCTTGGATACCTACCCTTAGCAAAAGTTTTCAGGAGTGTGCAAGAAAAGATTTCTTGCTGCCATTTGCAGCAAATCTGCAAGGAATTGCAGTTTACAGCAAATTTGCTGCGAATTTGCAGCAGGCCTGATATTTTGGTAAGGGTAATGCAATATGAAAGTTAACAGTGCATAGAATGCAACCTGCATCCCCGGTTTCTTTTCTTAACTTTTTAACATACTAAACTGGCTAGAAATTCACCACTTCTAGTCATTGCCATGTAACTTCTATTTGTGCTTTCAGTTAAGCTTCTTACTGTATATATAGCACAACTTTGTAATTTCAAAAATATTTTTTTAACAGAAAAACCTTACTGCTGTTGGCAAGGACTGATCCACTGTTGTATAAAACTGAAAAATTAGTATTAAAAGTTTCTTTTCATAGACGAACAAATAAAACAAGTCTGTTGTGTCAGTTTTCTTAAAGGAGATTATGCCTTAAGTAGTAAAGCAATTTATAACACTGAAAGAGCAAAAGTATCTATTATAGAATGCCGGAGCATTATCCACGCAAAATTTAAATTTATACAACTGCACTTAGATTACCAATACCATAATGCCAAGTGATACCTTCACCTCATCCATTCACACCCCTCATTTACTTAAACTCTTCTAGGGCCATTGTAACAGCAATGGTGGTCTGCAAGGAATCATTGCATCAAAAACCATTTACTGCAGTTATAAACCGTAGTACTCACTAACTTATGTCAGACCCAAGCCAAGAAAGTACTTTTTCAGGTGCTGTATCCATCATTGTTTTCGGCTCACTCTCTCATTGGTGAGCAGTCTTTTTATTTGACCCATGATAAATCAGTAGTTGAACTTACATTTATCCAATTTATTTCAAACAGGAAAGTCGAAGCTAATGGTAATACCAATATCTGCTATATTTTAACTATGGATAAACTTCTGTGATTGGATCCTGAGCTGAAGAGGGCTTATTCTTAAGGACTGTTCCCATAAACCTAGTGTACTACGTGGATCGATCCAAGTCTGCGGGAACTCTTGCTAAAGTGCTTTCAGTGTAATCAGATCAATTTTCTGGTTCATCCCCCTGAGTAACTAGGGGGTAATTGCCTACTGTCACTTACCCCCTAGCAGCTTGAGTAAGCATGCCAGACATTTCACCCGCTTACACTGAATGTAATTTAGCAAGAATCCCTGCAGAATTAGATTGATCCAGCTGGTACCATGGGTTTATGGGAACCCAGTCCTAAAGTTTAAATATAAAGTTACAGTTCTTGTGTAAAACCATTCCTTGATCTTTTTTTCTTTTAGCTGAACTTCAGTTGCTCTTAACAAAACTCAGAACCACCTTCTGCCAAAGTTTCTTTTTGATTTAGTTTAGATACAATTGTTTGGCCCATTTTTCATCACATAACAGTGACCAATCACACAACTTACTTCATTCTTACACAAAAAAAAAAAGCTACCTACTTTCTCCTTCCAGCAATATGGAAACAAACTCATCTATAATAATAATAATAATAATAATAGTAATAATAATAATACCTTGAAGTCATAAACCCAACAAATTTCTTAGAACTTTGCCAAGCCATGCTGAGCATTGGTACAAAGAAATTCACTTTATCTTTTTTTTTCAAAGTATTAATCATCTCTGACTAGTCTATTTAGTGTATTGCAACATAAACCACCTGAGTCAACTCTCATTAAGAAACATTATAACTAACACCCAGTTTTTCAACTAGAATACGTAAAACTAATGGAATTTTGGGTGAAATACATAAAAACTAACTACGATTCCTAGACAATGGAATCATTATAAACACAAATTGATAATTCTTTTAGGGGCATTCGTTTTAATGCAATAAGCTTGCTTTACAAACAGATAACAAGTAACCTTTTCAGCAAAGTTTATTTGGCTCAGGAACCATTTTACTGAATACCTTGCAATGTCATTCCCCTTTCCTCAACAAGCTTCTTATATCTCAAAACACTGTATTATGTCAACTGTTTTCATAACCAAATTTTCAGAAAAGAGAAAATCAATGCTGCAGGAATTTTCAGTACACTAATTATTCAAAGAACTTGAAAAATTCAGGGAAACGCCTTTCATTTTTCCTGCTAAGTAAAAATAAAGGACAATGACAATGAGGACATGCAGCATATGCTTTTACCTTCATTATTTTTTTTATATGTTAATCTTAAACCTTACTAAAATAGACTGAGACCATCTGTAAAACTTACACAGAAATTAAAGCAAAAATAGACATCTTGTCCTTTGAGACCCAACTGCTCATTACAACAAAAACAACCCTTTTCTCAAGGGGTTAATATCAGCTACTCAAGACAGGAGCCAAGCTGCAGGTTCTTTTTTGACCATACAGCAAAAGTTTAAGCTTGAAAAAGAAAGCAGCATTCTTATTTATGACCCAATCTACATCCCCTGAAGGAAACATATCCTCTTTCATTTGCTCCTTCTATGTAGATTTTGTACAATGCCGTTATCTGGACGGTGATTCTCCTCATAGCATGGAATGATGTGCTTGCTTGCCTTACAGGAAGAACAATCTATCTGAGAGGGCCAGGGCTGGATCTTTATGTATGCTCTGGCCAACAAGGAATGCCAATTTATGTGCATACTGACAGGGTGCTGGGACACGAATGGTACCCTGAAACAACATTGAGGCTATGGTTAGCTGGGATCAGATACAATCAATGTGCACACAGTATATTGCATTCACTGTAAATTACAATACTATCCATACATAAAAATCAAATGAATGTAATTTTTTATGCTTAAAAATGGATTAGAATATAATTGATGCAATGACCTCATGTAGTTGGGAGAACAAAGCAAGTAACTTACTGGCCAATTGTAATACAGATGACACAGCTTGTATGTGAGGCGCTGCATATGGTCTGGTCTCAAGCCAGAAGTATCCCAAACAACATTATAGTGAGTTGGAGTCACAGTACCCTGACGTACAGACTGGGAGACCAGGAAGTAGTCATACCTGAATAAAAGAAATCTCATGAGTAAGCAGGTTTTAGTGTTTTAATATACAACAAATTGACACATTTTTTTACACAGAAAATCTATGAATTTTGCACACCAGACATCAACTTCTTACCATTCTGGACGTGTGACTTCTGTGTCAATGACGGTCCCTGGTGGAGGGTTCTCCAAGCCTGGGCCAGATCTTGCAAAGAACCTTGTGTTGATTCTCTTCTTTACAACCACAACTGCCGTTTTGGGACTAAAAATTAATCAAGCTAATGTTAAGTACAAATAAAGCAAACAAGTTACATCTGTGTGGGTGAAAATTTTTATGATCAAACTTTTTTTTAATGGCTAGTGTCAGGAATGAGGATCAAAAGCTGTTGGTTAGTCAGAGACAATGAGTTTTATCAAGAAATTTGTCAAGTATGCATTTTCTCAGGGAAATCCAACATTGTGCATCCTTTATTCTTAAAACATTAGGATAGTCACCATCACACTTCACCCCAAAAATATACTCACTTGTAACCTGGGCTAATAGACTTAAAGCAGTCGAGCATCTGAGGAATTTCATGCTCCACTACTGCAGGTAGTTGCCCATCTCCAACTCCATCTCGGAACACAACAATCCTTTCAGGGAGACTCTGGTTAATGTCATTGTAGTGTCTAAGGGATGCTAAAGACAAAGAGAAAATTTGTGAAAATATTTAAAGGGATAACAACCAATCGTAAGATATCCATATTTCACAAAAATACATTGTAACTAACCCGCAGATATACAATAAATTCTATTTTACCCCAAAACGGCAGTTAACACAATTATTTTATTTATTATCCCTTAAGAGATTATAACAAAAAACCAACCTTTTCAGAAAAAAAAATGGACTTATTTTGAATGTGGGAATGGTGCATTTACGATTGGTAAGTATGGAAAAATTGTCCTTTGCCCCAGAAAAATCATTTTTTTTCTTGCAAAATGAACAGTTGTTATCCCTTTAATGTAACTTTGGGCTTTAAATTCTTGCATTTTTTTCAAAAAACATTATGATAATATTCTTAAAATAAAAATATTTAGCTGAACTAATTATAACGTAAATGCATCTTATATATCATTTAACGATGTAAGTTTACCTGAATTTGTCTCCAAGTATCATAAAAATGTGAGTGTGAGTTTATTTGCCTTACCTGATAATATAGGTTTTAAGTTGTCCACCAGTTCCTGGTGTGAGTGTTGGAATGACACACGCGAATAGTATCGTGTTAACGAACTGTTTGTTGAGCATACTACCCCTCCAACTGAACGTCCCTTAGATGATGAGTCGTGGTAACTGTCTATACCAACGACCATACAGTTTTTCATCTGGATAAGTAAACAAGTTGAACTATGTGAATAGTGCCATTTGTCAAGTCTTTTGGCTATACTACCTCTACTGCACACACAACAGCAGACAAAGCTGGAGAGAAACCATGCCCAAGGCCAACCTTACTTACCTCTCTAGAAAGCATGATACAGTGACATCTATATATAACATATGGACATCTCAAATATCCATTTTAAGCAAATACTGTATAGATATATAGGCCCCTGCATCACATTTTTGGTGGTGTTAGACTGATAAAGTCTTCACCCCATCACCCCTTTTGTGCACAATTCTGTTGCACATTTTGCAACAGATAAAATACTTCAATCCAAAATTAGGAAATGGGGAGTAGTAAAATAAATGATGAAAACTAGCTAAAAAACACATTTTTTCAAGATTTTATTTTAATAAATAAAAAAACTTTATGATATCGAAATTTATGTAGTGACACGTGGTTGCTATAGCTGGAAAAATGAAAAAAAAAAAAAAAAAAAAAGAAAAAGACTTCATAAAGTCTTTCTAGATTTAGTCTGGCACTGGACATCAAAGCACATTACTCTGTATTTTTGTTTGAACCACTATGAAATGTTGTGCACAAAAGGGAGGGTTAGGGGTTAAGAAATGGGTTAAAGGTTGAGAACATTTCCTTAATTGGCTGTTACAACAAAAGCGGTCTACTTGCACCCCCACCCCCTACTCTACCTTGCATGCACACTTTGATGCCATCCAGCAATTCCTGATGGTTATGTTGGAAAGTGCACCTGCTGTGAAAGCGGGTAAGACTGGCATTCATACTAGCTATAAAGCCACCTACAGATCGACCTTTGGAAGCAGAGTCATGATAGCTGTCAATGCCCACTACCATCATGTTCTTAAGCTAAGAGAAAGAGGTAGATTATATTGAATTTAATTAGTATTCATCTGTTTCAGAAAAATAATATATTGTGCCTTTTTCTTTTCTCGTCTTTTCATGCATTGTATGTTTGGTTGAATATTTTGTGGTATCAATTTTTTTTTTATCCTTTGAGACTATAAATGTGTGTGTGTGTGTGTGTGTGTGTGTGTGTGCGTGCGTGCGTGCATGCATGCGTGCATTCACTATACCTATTAATATGTATATTCCTGGACTGAAAGATTTCAATAAAAAAAATAATAATAAATAAATAAATAAATAAATAAATAATAATAATAATAATAAAATTATATGCAAAGCACACAATTTATAAGAAAAACCACAAAGACCAGAGTCTAAACACACACAAGATGGAAAAACTACAACTACCCCACTACCCGAAAATGCAGTTGACATCACACCACAGACCAGTGAACAAAGATATTAAATGTGCAAAAAACAAATACCAAATCAAAAGCCACTTATGTTGTATCTATCATAACAATGTTGCTCCAATGAAGGTTTAATTAACATATATTAACTATCTTTTATTCATCTGATATATTAAAATCAAAGCTTAATATATAATAATAAATGTTAATTACTAAAATGAAGGGTTTTGTAGTTTACCGGAATTTCCACTGCCCAAGCTTCACCGCCAAGTTTACAATTCAGCTGTATCGCAATCTTTGTGGCCACCGACATGAGCATCTGCTTCTTGGCAAGTGTACGTCCAACAATAATCTGGCTGGGAACTTTAATAACAGCAATGTATTCAATGGTTATTGCTTAAATCATATCACAGCACTACATTGTAATTTACAGTAATAACTGAAGCATCTTACTATAACAGTAATAGCAGAGGCATCATGACACTAACATACACCAACAAATTTGAAACAACTAAACTGAATATCTAGTGTGCATATTTCAACTGCACAATAATCTGATTCATGCTATTTACCTGGGTGGTCCACACAAACAAGTTTCTTTATGGCATCATAACGATCTTTTTTGTTGTTTGGCACAATGCACACAACCATCTGGGTTTCTCTGGTCATCTCCGTCTTAATAGTAGTGAGATACCTGTTGGTGCTATCATCTGGTAACTGGAACCTAATTAAATGTAGTATGCAGACCATAGAAATAAACAAGAACCAATTTGTGAGCAGCTTCTATTTATCAAGATACAGCAGATACCAGATTAAAATGTGTATTGCTTTAACTAAACTATTTTACAGGCTTAAACTATGTAATACAACGCAAGTCACTACAATCTTCAGCAGAAAGTACACTTACATAGCAGGGTCATTAATTTGTATGCCCAAGGGTCCAGTAACCCTGCACAAGGACTGATAGAAGTCCTGTGCTTTGGCTGCCTCTCTCTGAGGGAAGACCATCATCCAGTTTGTCAGTGCAACAGTGGAAATCAGTGGATCACTGCGACATTCTCTGGACCAATCTGCCTCAGATGGTTTGTAGTTGCACTGTAGGCAAAATAAGGTTGAAAATAGCATAAGATTAAGTAGCAAAAAACAAAGCAACCTTTCTGAAATACACAGAAATTTGATAATTACTTACAACTTTCTTTTTCAGGAAAATCTTTTCTGGTGGAAGTATTCTTGCTTGAATGTTTAGGAGGTTATCAGCAAATTTCAAACCCCAGCCACTCATCTCCTCCTGCACTTTTGGTGTGCTGCAAGGTAAAGATGAGTATCTCAATGCCAAGACAGACTTAAACTGGCAAACTAACATCATCCAGAAAATATGTAACAGTTAAGGACAGTGATAATAATTTCAACTTGATAAACATCTTACTCTTAATTTCTCAATAATTACACACAATTGTTACACTGTGCTTTTGAAACGCTAATAAATCCAAAATGTAAATACACAAATGATCAGATTACAGGATATTTTTTTTTCATTTTACTCAAGGTTTCAAGCATCCTTACTTTACTTACACAGCAAATGATAAAATCTGATATAAGCTGTTAAAAAACTACAAATGATTTTATAATGCTTTTGCTTATTATATGGCTTCTGAGCTACCACAAACGTTTAATGTTTTTATTTTACTACTTGTACATTTTTTGTTGTGATATAACTTGAGACTCCCTTTTCTCATATGAATATGGAAAATTAGCTGTAGGAATATAGGAATAACACAACTTAAGCAATTCCATTAAATTAAACAGCTTACCTCTTGATCCTGTGAAGGAAATTCTGCAGTGTTTTGCAGCGCTGTTCAGGGGCAACACGTGTATGTGTGGCAAGATCTCGCATGACATTAAAGTCTGCTCGCACATCATCAGACAAACCTGAAAACAGAATTCTTCCCAAGTTAACAGATATTTTGTTACAGGTAACTGCTACATAAAAGTAGACAGACGGCTCACCTCAAAAGATCCTTCAGCCACTTTTGTAACTGCGTAAACAGAATAGCATCTGCTAAAGAATATGGTGTTCATTTACTGGTGTTCATATAATATAGTTAGTTCTGTTGTCCATGATCGTGTCTTTTGAGCGAAGGCGTGCATCAATAAAGAATCTGAATCTGATACTTTTTGACATTCCTTATGCCGTATGTTCCCAGCATGATTTGAACTGCCACATGGACTTAGAACATACCAGTAATCCAGCAAAGTTCTGGGAGCAATTTGATTGGTCCTTCCTGGCCACTTGCTATGTCCCTCTTCTTTGGTCTGCTTATGATCAGAGGTTGAGTCATGTCCAGTGAGGTAACATTGTGATGCTACAAACAGAAGAGTTGTTAGGGTGTGTTAAAGAGGTAAGACAACTACTTTGAGCAGGTTTTGAATTGTTGGCATTAGTAGGATTTTAAGGATTGTTTTTGTCACTCTGTCAAATAAAAAAATCACTATCACTTACACTTTTATAGTAGTCCGCAAACGTGGTCTCTTCCCCATTGCGAAGCTTAAAAGTGCAGCCTGGGTTGGAATCCCAATCTATGTCATCAATTCTGTAAGTCTTGTTGTTGTACCTGAAATAAAATTTGTCACTTTATCTGCAATCCTAATGTACTGGTTTCAAACACAGTTGACGTGTCAAATAGTCACAGAAACGTATTTGAAATCGTGAGGAGTTTTTTAAACAAGCATACTTGACATGTCAAACAGTCAAATATACATACCTTGTCATTACAATCTCCCCAATATATTTCCTTACACACATATCATGGAAGCCTCTTGGATTTTGATAATGCAAATCATACATGTCATCTAGCATAGTGCTGGCTCTAAGTATCTTGTGTGCGACATCTGCACACAACATGACGTTGTTCTCATACTGGAGTATGGAAGTTGTGAACCCTGGCCAAACTTGCAGCCTGTAGTGAAGGAAAGATGTGGCTAAGATATAGAATAATCAATGTAATAACATAATCTCTGCCACTCGCACATACATATTGCACTGACAAATTAAATTCATAGACAGAGCAAGAAAATGTTATCAAAGAACACTGAAAAAGCTCTTTTATCTAATAGAAAAAAGTATCTGGCACTACAATATACCTGTGCTGAGGAATGGGGATGGCTTGGTGTTTAGAAAAGTAGTGTCGCCCAATCTGTTCCATATCTAGCATGTTTAGGATCCTAGTAAAGAAAAGGTGGCCATAAATCCATATGATGTGTAAATGACTTTCAAAGCTGTATGTATTCGGGAGTCGCGCCACCACATTTTTATAGAACAGTCATGCCCTCAGAATTTATGTTGGACATAAAATAAAAGTATTCATCTTTATAACCTTAGAAGTTAACTATCTTCAGACTTTTAAGTAATTCTTAAATGATGGCATAAATGTAGCCTTAGTTGACACTTGCACTTATCCTTCATTGCAAAATTCAAAACACACTTATTATATCATGGTTATAATATTTTTATTTAAAAGACCTCTCCAATAGATAACAGAGTTACTGTGCTCTACTTACCTTCTAAATATGACATTGTATATTTGGATACAAGTAGGAGAAGTTGGGGGAAGCTCAGCAGCAAGCTTGATTGTAATTCGGATTTTGGAATTGTCAGAACGCCTTGAGGAGTAAACTTCTGTTACCTAGTCAAAACAAAGTACACAGTTGTGAATCATTCATGTCTAAATGGCACACTATACACAACTCTCTCTGTGACCTAAAATTGGGCATTAGGAAACACATTTTAATCAACAGCTGATTTTATTGCAAAGTAACAATTTTATATTCGATTTAAATGTTTGATAACATCAGAGGTACAAGAAATTCAATATCAGGTGGTAAACACATACCTCATTCTGCAACTTGTGAGGCAAAAACATCATCAGGCCATCAAAGGCACGAGTCTTTCCAAGCATTTCATCATGGTCATGCATTAGGCCAAAACGAAGTTTCTTACTCTCAACAGGTGGATCAAAAGCTACATGATATTGGTACAGGTGCCAAGTTGGTGCAGATTCCAACTTATAATAGTTTGTCAACACTGGTATTGGTTTACCACTTGTTCCTGAATAAATAACATAGCTTTGTTATATTATAAAATAAACAAATCGAAAAAATTATTCTCTATTAAATCGGTGACAAAACTGGTGAAATCTTGTGATTTGTAAAAATATTTCTAAATCCAATTCCAAACATTTAAAAAATGCTTAAATGGGCATTCTTATAATGATAACAATCATAATATTACCTCTTTTATCAGTTACATGTGCTGGCCTGGTCTTGGGTTCAGTGTAGCGTAACTCTGTCCTTCTGCCTTTCTTAGCTCCACCTGGGGCATCCCCTGTCCCAAGTGACAATGATGCCATCTGGCCAGTAGGTGGTGCTGAAACAGTACCTCCAGGACGAGGTTCACCACGAGTCCCCCCTCTCTGACTAGCACGACCACTAGCAGGCAAACCGTTACCATTTCCATTTCCATTGCCACCCTAATAGAGAGAAAAAGATAAAACACACATCAAGTAACCAACCCTAGTGTCATTCAGAATTCAGATATGGTCGTTAAATGGCAATTTGCAAAAAATTATTTTCTGAAGTTTCTCTGTGTATCTTTACTCTGAAGATGGCTACCACCTAGAATCACTGTAAATATTTAATACTTTTTAATCGTATCTGTTAAATAGGGCTTTCCCCAGCATTTGGGAAGTCTCATATTTCCATTTATAATTTCCCACAAAATTTAAGAGAGTCACAAATATCCAAAAAGTGCACTGAGCAGAGGAGAGGAGGGGGGTAAATTATTAAAATTTGAATTTGTCTATGTATAAATAAACAAAGGTATAAATAAACAAAATCCATTCTTTTTGCAATTTTCAGATACCTTTATTGAAATCGGCACAATTTATAACAATACCACAATAGTGTATAATAGAGTATGAGCAATTGAATGCACAATCAGTACGCTAAAAAAACTGTTTTAGCAGACTAAATGTACAGCACTTTGACATTCACTGAATGCCCTGATTAAAAAAAAAAAAAAAAAAAAAAAACTGCTAATATCTCATGACTGCACTTTAATTCAAATCTTAAATATGATACATCATGCATTTAGATATGCAGATATATTTCATTATTAGCAATTATGGGGAAAGTGAACAACTTCATGTTATGTCAACATCATGTGACTCGCTTTTCTGTTCCTTTGAGAACTAAAGTCAGCAGTAAAACCAACTTCACATTTATACTACTTATTCTTGTGTACTGACCTGCTAAATAAAATATCTATTAGAGTGCTGTCAGCTGTATCCAGCTAATTCAACAATGCACATCACCATCTTACATGTACAGCTTATAATAGCCTAATTGGAAGACACTTTCTCTGACACATTAATTTAAATATTTTCACACACACACACTAAAAATGATTAACGTGCAAAAAATTTATTTAGGAGTAGGGAAAGTAAATTTTCACACCTACTTGCGTGCAAGGACAAATGCCTGAAAACACTTTATGTAAAGCCTTATTTTACTGATGCATATGCCAATAAAAAAACGCAAGCAAAAAAAAAAGAGGCAGCTGATAGCCATACGGGCCATCGGAGATATCACGAGAACGAAAACGAGTCTATCAACTTTGTCAAACAGGAAACCAATCACAAAATAGTACTTGTGAAGCGAAACCCAGGCCAATGGGTTATGTTTAATAAGCAGGAAATGGACATGCATCCCTTAGAATTAAACATTCCGAGTCAACTTGAAAACTCACCGGGGTACGACTATACAGGATATTTTCGGGCATGTCCAGTGATCCAGCACCTTTTGTAGTCTGAAATACACGTAGTTAAATACTTTTGAAAGGAACAGACCTTGGGTGCATTATATAATCCAACAGGCCCTGAAAGTTTTTATGAGAATGAAAGCAAGACTATCAACTTTGTAAAAACGGGGATCCCCCATCCTCAGCCAGTCACAAAATAGTACTTGTGGAGTGAAACCNTCATTTTACTCAAGGTTTCAAGCATCCTTACTTTACTTACACAGCAAATGATAAAATCTGATATAAGCTGTTAAAAAACTACAAATGATTTTATAATGCTTTTGCTTATTATATGGCTTCTGAGCTACCACAAACGTTTAATGTTTTTATTTTACTACTTGTACATTTTTTGTTGTGATATAACTTGAGACTCCCTTTTCTCATTTGAATATGGAAAATTAGCTGTAGGAATATAGGAATAACACAACTTAAGCAATTCCATTAAATTAAACAGCTTACCTCTTGATCCTGTGAAGGAAATTCTGCAGTGTTTTGCAGCGCTGTTCAGGGGCAACACGTGTATGTGTGGCAAGATCTCGCATGACATTAAAGTCTGCTCGCACATCATCAGACAAACCTGAAAACAGAATTCTTCCCAAGTTAACAGATATTTTGTTACAGGTTACTGCTACATAAAAGTAGACAGACTGCTCATCTCAAAAGATCCTTCAGCCACTTTTGTAACTGCGTAAACAGAATAGCATCTGCTAAAGAATATGGTGTTCATTTACTGGTGTTCATATAATATAGTTAGTTCTGTTGTCCATGATCGTGTCTTTTGAGCGAAGGCGTGCATCAATAAAGAATCTGAATCTGATACTTTTTGACATTCCTTATGCCGTATGTTCCCAGCATGATTTGAACTGCCACATGGACTTAGAACATACCAGTAATCCAGCAAAGTTCTGGGAGCAATTTGATTGGTCCTTCCTGGCCACTTGCTATGTCCCTCTTCTTTGGTCTGCTTATGATCAGAGGTTGAGTCATGTCCAGTGAGGTAACATTGTGATGCTACAAACAGAAGTGTTGTTAGGGTGTGTTAAAGAGTGCAAGACAACAACTTTGAGCAGGTTTTGAATTGTTGGCATAAGTAGGATTTTAAGGATTGTTTTTGTCACTCTGTCAAATAAAAAAATCACTATCACTTACACTTTTATAGTAGTCCGCAAACGTGGTCTCTTCCCCATTGCGAAGCTTAAAAGTGCAGCCTGGGTTGGAATCCCAATCTATGTCATCAATTCTGTAAGTCTTGTTGTTGTACCTGAAATAAAATTTGTCACATTATCTTCTGCAATCCTAATGTACTGGTTTCAAACACAGTTGACGTGTCAAATAGTCACAGAAACGTATTTGAAATCGTGAGGCGTTTTTTAAACAAGCATACTTGACATGTCAAACAGTCAAATATACATACCTTGTCATTACAATCTCCCCAATATATTTCCTTACACACATATCATGGAAGCCTCTTGGATTTTGATAATGCAAATCATACATGTCATCTAGCATAGTGCTGGCTCTAAGTATCTTGTGTGCGACATCTGCACACAACATGACGTTGTTCTCATACTGGAGTATGGAAGTTGTGAACCCTGGCCAAACTTGCAGCCTGTAGTGAAGGAAAGATGTGGCTAAGATATAGAATAATCAATGTAATAACATAATCTCTGCCACTCGCACATACATATTACACTGACAAATTAAATTCATAGACAGAGCAAGAAAATGTTATCAAAGAACACTGAAAAAGCTCTTTTATCTAATAGAAAAAAGTATCTGGCACTACAATATACCTGTGCTGAGGAATGGGGATGGCTTGGTGTTTAGAAAAGTAGTGTCGCCCAATCTGTTCCATATCCAGCATGTTTAGGATCCTAGTAAAGAAAAGGTGGCCATAAATCCGTATGATGTGTAAATGACTTTCAAAGCTGTATGTATTCGGGAGTCGCGCCACCACATTTTTATAGAACAGTCATGCCCTCAGAATTTATGTTGGACATAAAATAAAAGTATTCATCTTTATAACCTTAGAAGTTAACTATCTTCAGACTTTTAAGTAATTCTTAAATGATGGCATAAATGTAGCCTTAGTTGACACTTGCACTTATCCTTCATTGCAAAATTCAAAACAAACTTATTATATCATGGTTATAATATTTTTATTTAAAAGACCTCTCCAATAGATAACAGAGTTACTGTTCTCTACTTACCTTCTAAATATGACATTGTATATTTGGATACAAGTAGGAGAAGTTGGGGGAAGCTCAGCAGCAAGCTTGATTGTAATTCGGATTTTGGAATTGTCAGAACGCCTTGAGGAGTAAACTTCTGTTACCTAGTCAAAACAAAGTACACAGTTGTGAATCATTCATGTCTAAATGGCACACTATACACAACTCTCTCTGTGACCTAAAATTGGGCATTAGGAAACACATTTTAATCAACAGCTGATTTTATTGCAAAGTAACAATTTTATATTCGATTTAAATGTTTGATAACATCAGAGGTACAAGAAATTCAATATCAGGTATTAAACACATACCTCATTCTGCAACTTGTGAGGCAAAAACATCATCAGGCCATCAAAGGCACGAGTCTTTCCAAGCATTTCATCATGGTCATGCATTAGGCCAAAACGAAGTTTCTTACTCTCAACAGGTGGATCAAAAGCTACATGATATTGGTACAGGTGCCAAGTTGGTGCAGATTCCAACTTATAATAGTTTGTCAACACTGGTATTGGTTTACCACTTGTTCCTGAATAAATAACATAGCTTTGTTATATTATAAAATAAACAAATCGAAAATTATTCTCTATTAAATCGGTGACAAAACTGGTGAAATCTTGTGATTTTTAAAAATATTTCTAAATCCAATTCCAAACATTTAAAAAAAATGCTTAAATGGGCATTCTTATAATGATAACAATCATAATATTACCTCTTTTATCAGTTACATGTGCTGGCCTGGTCTTGGGTTCAGTGTAGCGTAACTCTGTCCTTCTGCCTTTCTTAGCTCCACCTGGGGCATCCCCTGTCCCAAGTGACAATGATGCCATCTGGCCAGTAGGTGGTGCTGAAACAGTACCTCCAGGACGAGGTTCACCACGAGTTCCCCCTCTCTGACTAGCACGACCACTAGCAGGCAAACCGTTACCATTTCCATTTCCATTGCCACCCTAATAGAGAGAAAAAGATATAACACACATCAAGTAAACATCCTTAGTGTCATTCAGAATTCAGATATGGTTGTTAAATGGCAATTTGCAAAAAATAATTTTCTGAAGTTTCTCTGTGTATCTTTACTCTGAAGATGGCTACCACCTAGAATCACTGTAAATATTTAATACTTTTTAATCATATCTGTTAAATAGGGCTTTCCCCAGCATTTGGGGTACAGGAAGTCTCATATTTCCATCTATAATTTCCCACAAAATTTAATAGAGTCACAACTATTCAAAAAGTGCAATGAGCAGAGGGGAGGGGGGTAAATTATTAAAATTTGAATTTGTCTATGTATAAATAAACAAAGGTATAAATAAACAAAATCCATTCTTTTTGCAATTTTCAGATACCTTTATTTATAACAATACCACAATAGCGTATAATAGAGTATGAGCAATTGAATGCACAATCAGTACACTAAAAAAACTGTTTTAGCAGACTAAATGTACAGCACTTTGACATTCACTGAATGCCCTGATTTAAAAAAAAAAAAAAAAAAAAAAACTGCTAATATCTCATGGCTGCACTTTAATTCAAATCTTAAATATGATACATCATGCATTTAGATATGCAGATATATTTCATTATTAGCAATTATGGGGAAAGTGAACAACTTCATATTATGTCAACATCATGTGACTCGTTTTTCTGTTCCTTTGAGAACTAAAGTCAGCAGTAAAACCAACTTCACATTTATACTACTTATTCTTGTGTACTGACCTGCTAAATAAAATATCTATTAGAGTGCTGTCAGTTGTATCCAGCTAATTCAAATTATGGGTTTTGCAAGCAACAATGCACATCACCATCTTACATGTACAGCTTACAATAGCTTAACTGGAAGACACTTTCTCTGACACATTAATTTAAATATTTTCACACACACACACTAAAAATGATTAACGTGCAAAAAATTTATTTTGGAGTAGGGAAAGTAAATTTTCACACCTACTTGCGTGCAAGGACAAATGCCTGAAAACACTTTATGTAAAGCCTTATTTTACTGATGCATATGCCAATAAAAAAACGCAAGCAAAAAAAAAAGAGGCAGCTGATAGCCATACAGGCCAGCGGAGATATCACGAGAACGAAAACGAGTCTATCAACTTTGTCAAACAGGAAACCAATCACAAAATAGTACTTGTGAAGCGAAACCCAGGCCAATGGGTTATGTTTAATAAGCAGGAAATGGACATGCATCCCTTAGAATTAAACATTCCGAGTCAACTTGAAAACTCACCGGGGTACGACTATACAGGATATTTTCGGGCATGTCCAGTGATCCAGCACCTTTTGTAGTCTGAAATACACGTAGTTAAATACTTTTGAAAGGAACAGACCTTGGGTGCATTATATAATCCAACAGGCCCTGAAAGTTTTTATGAGAATGAAAGCAAGACTATCAACTTTGTAAAAACAGGATCCCCCATCCTCAGCCAGTCACAAAATAGTACTTGTGGAGTGAAACTNACACTAAAAAAACTGTTTTAGCAGACTAAATGTACAGCACTTTGACATTCACTGAATGCCCTGATTTAAAAAAAAAAAAAAAAAAAAAAACTGCTAATATCTCATGGCTGCACTTTAATTCAAATCTTAAATATGATACATCATGCATTTAGATATGCAGATATATTTCATTATTAGCAATTATGGGGAAAGTGAACAACTTCATATTATGTCAACATCATGTGACTCGTTTTTCTGTTCCTTTGAGAACTAAAGTCAGCAGTAAAACCAACTTCACATTTATACTACTTATTCTTGTGTACTGACCTGCTAAATAAAATATCTATTAGAGTGCTGTCAGTTGTATCCAGCTAATTCAAATTATGGGTTTTGCAAGCAACAATGCACATCACCATCTTACATGTACAGCTTACAATAGCTTAACTGGAAGACACTTTCTCTGACACATTAATTTAAATATTTTCACACACACACACTAAAAATGATTAACGTGCAAAAAATTTATTTTGGAGTAGGGAAAGTAAATTTTCACACCTACTTGCGTGCAAGGACAAATGCCTGAAAACACTTTATGTAAAGCCTTATTTTACTGATGCATATGCCAATAAAAAAACGCAAGCAAAAAAAAAAGAGGCAGCTGATAGCCATACAGGCCAGCGGAGATATCACGAGAACGAAAACGAGTCTATCAACTTTGTCAAACAGGAAACCAATCACAAAATAGTACTTGTGAAGCGAAACCCAGGCCAATGGGTTATGTTTAATAAGCAGGAAATGGACATGCATCCCTTAGAATTAAACATTCCGAGTCAACTTGAAAACTCACCGGGGTACGACTATACAGGATATTTTCGGGCATGTCCAGTGATCCAGCACCTTTTGTAGTCTGAAATACACGTAGTTAAATACTTTTGAAAGGAACAGACCTTGGGTGCATTATATAATCCAACAGGCCCTGAAAGTTTTTATGAGAATGAAAGCAAGACTATCAACTTTGTAAAAACGGGGATCCCCCATCCTCAGCCAGTCACAAAATAGTACTTGTGGAGTGAAACCGAGGCCAATAAGTTATGTATAATTAGCAGGAAACTCCCAGTGATTTTTATTTTGACTCTTTTAGAGTGAAATAAAATATATGGCCAAGAAAAGAAATGGACATGTAGTCCTTAGATTTACACACTCAGAGTCAAACTGAAAACTCACCGGGGACCGACAATACAGGATGTTTTCAGGCATGTCCATTGGTCCAGCACCTTTTGTAGTCTGAAATACACGCAGTTAAATACTTTTGAAAGGAAAGGACCACGGAATCCTTGATTGACAGGCAGTCTGCTGTGTTGACAAAAAATAGTTCGAACCAGTTGTGACTACAAAGATCCCGTTGAATCTGGCATTTTCACTCAGGTAGTGACAGACATTTTGTGGTCTAGACAATAAATTGGTTACATAAAAGCAACTGACTTGTTTGCTGTAGTGATTTAAATAGCAGCTTAAGCATTCAAAAGCACTGCGACTGGCGGAGCACATGCATCTCTTATCTAATTAATATTCAGTTTAGTTAGGTTGTGAAGGAGCGTAGTGTGCAGCACAAAGTGGTATTTTTCAACTGGGACGCATCATACTATCTGATTTTCTTTAGTTATTTTGGTAGCAGGTAGTGGGTTTAATAGCACTGGGACTGTCTGAGCACATACAATTCTTTATCTTATTAATTTTCATTAGTAAGGTCGAGGCTGAAGCACAGCATTTTTCAACTGGGACGCATTATACACTCTAGGCACTTTAAATGACTTTGCTGGAATTTGGTAGACCATCCACAGGCCATCCTAAAAACCCAACCTGCCATTTTTCAAAGATTTTGTAAGCCATTCAGCCCTCCTTGAAAATATATGCAGTCTTTAGAGACCACTGACTAGCTGGGGAAAGCCTCTGTTATCTTAAAAAAAACTTACTTGGCTAGGTGCAGGTGCAGAAGGTGGTGCAGAATCACCAGGTCGTCGCACAGGTTGGTCTGCTGCATCAGCCCCGCCCCTTGCTCTTCCCCTCGCTCTACCTCTTGCTCTCCCTGTCATCCTATAAAAGTAATAAATGAAACAATGTGACATGATTTTTCAATATAAGTAATTTTATGTACTGAAACGAACAGAAAGACGACATACCACAGACATGCTGGAAACTTTTCAGAATGGCCGGACATTTGGAAATGCAGGAATGAAAAATTTGACGGACCAAATTGATTTTTGCCGGACCGAAAATCACCCTTTTCGTTTGAGACAGATACTACAAGTACAATTAGGTACTTTACTTTGTTTGTGAATGTGATCAGTTTGAAATTGCAGGGAAAAAAAACACTTTTTTTTGGTTTTATTTAATTTTATTAGTAGTATGTAGAATGATGACTGTAAATTCAAAATTGCGGTTCTTAAACTCTTGTCGGTCCTTTGAATCGACCAAGTCCAATTTTTTACCGGTCCAGACAAATTTCACCGTCATGACCAATCTGACCAACAGTTTCAGCATGTCTGTACCATCTTTTGCTAAAATATATTTTTCTGAAGTTAACTGTAGCACAAATACATTTTTTCCTTTACATATCAGGGTCAATTTGTGGAATTTTGAGATATTTCTGCATCATTTACCAAGTGAAAGCTCAATGGCTTTAAATTTTTGAATTGAAGAATAATAACAATATGGTCCATCTATGCAGTTATATATATAGCTCAAGAAATGTCTAAATTTTAGGGACCAGTTTTGGAATTTAGTGAACAAATTTTTCTAATAAATACATGAAACTTTAAATGACCACTCCCCATTTCCATGTATGAACTCATTAGCAGCTCTACCCACCCTATGATATCATCCACTTTTGAACAAGCTATATGACAAAAACATGGCAGATCCAATGTGTTCTATAGTTTTCCCTAAGTTTTTTAAAACATATCTAATTTATTTACTGTCATTGCCATAAACAAATAAGATAAAAAGACTAATAAAGGTTTAGTGTAAGAACTACCTGTTTACCTGTCAGCGTCGAAATTGCCACGCGTGTTGATTGTCAAGTTGACACCAGTGTCACGTGGTTCAGTTTACCTGAAAAAAGTCATGAATGTGTAACATTGTAGCAAGTCACATTGTGACCTAGTTTATTAAGGTAAAAACACATCTGGATTAATCTTAACATCCATTATGATATCTGTTACCTCACAAATTAGGGTATTATGTATTAATGCATACTGTGGAGCTGTTATCATCCTTTGCACAGTGATATAGGCATATTCTATTGAAAATTAGGGTATTTGGGTGGGAAACATGAACAATGCCCAGGCCCGTAGACAGGGGGGTTTGGGGGGTTCGAAAGAATCGCCCCTTTTTGTGGGAAAAGGTCCACCTTTTCAGAAAAAGAACCCCCCTTTCGAAATTGCTGGCTATGGGCCTGATAACCCTTTTAAAGTATGACAAATAATGCACAGCTACCACCTAGCTACGCTCTACCAGGGCGATAGATTGATTTTCCAGAGATATTCACAGATATGTCTAGATAAATACAGTCATTTTGGTCTGATGTCACCCTGTAATGGAATCTCAAGGTTGATTACATGGCTGGTAATTGTTTGCACGACTACTCAGGCACTGCCACTTGGCAGGTCCAGTCTAATACCCCATTCACACTACAGTTGCAAAAATGCGCATGTCTATAATTCAGATTTCTTGTGAGAATTCCGATTCGTTATTGCGTTCACACTCGCGAAGCGAAACCGAATCCCACGTTGAAAATTTCAGGTTTAACTTCCTGTTTTGAACACTCGCGCATGCGCCGCACAGGAAAACTCAAAATACCAACAAAAAAGTGTGACGGCAAATGTATCTCAAAAAGCATTCTTGGGAAGCATAAGATGGCAAAATAAGTTTGTTTCCTCATGTTGTAGTGAGTGGTGACCTCCAAATACGTTTGGTGCAATCGCTTAAGTAATAAACAAGCGTTCATAGATATCCGCACTTATCTGCACACATGCGCAGTAAGATCTGTACAGGTCTCGATTCCGGTAGGTTATTCGGATCGCGCTGAGAAATCCACCTCGCTTGCAGGATTTTGAAAATACGCATTACAGAAATCCTTTTGCGTTCACACTACTGCATTTATTCGAATGGTGACCTAATTCGCAACTTATCCGGATAACTGAGCGTAGTGTGAATGGAGTATAAGTCCGCTTGACAGCAATCAAGACAGTTAATAGTAGCCCCTTATGAATAGCTTTTTACTTCAGAGTGAGGTTGAGAAACCCCCTGTAGTAAAAGAAAGAGTCAATGCACCACTGGAAATGATATTATGAAATTAAACTAAGGTTTTACCACGACCTTATGTAGAAAGTTGATGCTGCACTTGGTAATCCTACTACCTGCGAACACCTAAAGCATATCATAACTGTGATAGCATATCATAACTGCGATAGACGATTTTCAAGGAGTCCGAAACAAGTCTATTAAAGACAAGCTGAGTCTAAATCATTGTTTCAAAAAGACAATACCTCCAGGAATTTATTGTTAGAACATCTTTTCTTTCAATTTTCTCATTCTTATCAGAGGAAACACCTGACATGTTTTTAAACTGCAGTATGGAATTGTGGGATACGGCTTGTGCACAAAGTCAGGGAACCCCTTCCAACCACGTGACTAGTTTCAGCAGACAGCAGAGCCTATGACAGGTTGCATAGCGAGCAGATATCACCTCTACACAAAACGAAGCTCCTGCAGAGCAGGTACAATGCTATCTGCGCGCGGGCAGATTTAATCGTTTCCTTCTGACCAAACATAACAGGGTCACTTCAGCCAAAAATGTCCACAATAACAATTGCCACTCTGGTAGAGGGTACCACCTTGCCAGATATATACACATCAGCATGCCTCAGGCTTGTGGGCAGTGCATTACTTAGTACTTTGGTTTTGGGTAAAATATGGTCATGCTGTTAGTTTTAGACCCCATTCCCAGAAATTAGATCGATCTACTTTAGATCGACCTAACTCCCTAGGGGGTTCTCGCTAGATAGCTGTCAGCCAAGCGGGCACGAAAGTTAATTACCCCTTTATAGCTTGTAGTAGGCGGGACGGACATTTAAGCCGGATTATCAGACAATCTAGTGAGACTCCCCGCGGGGATAGATCAATCTAAAAGCTCTGGGAATATGCCCTTAGAGTCATTAACCTTTGGTATTATTCCGTGTCCAATGAAGTATTTCCTTGGATACATGGTGACCATGGACCCTTGACATTGTATATGTTATACACAGTTGTTACAGCTGCATACTTGTCATTTTGAAGTTTTCATGATGGCAAAGAGCAATGGTCCAAGAACATGAGAGTTGTGTTTTTATATTCCTTTCTCAGATACGGGCCAGCAGCCATGCTATTTATTTGAATCCCCCAATCCTTTTAGCAACAAATGATTCCCAAACTTTGCTGAACAATGAATTGTTTCATATTGCATGTATCAGGCGACAGGGGGATATGTAGAAAAAGATGTCTTTTAGCCCGATATTATATGCAAGTTGCTTCAGCAAGAGTCATAAGAACACAGACTGGTGGGGAAAAAACTTTATTTCATCAACAGCTTACACTTCTTAAAGTTCTCTCTCTCTCTCTCTCTCTCTCTCTCTCTCTCTCTCTCTCTCTCTCATCAGTGATCGGCTTACATGGCTGGACATTCTTTTTCTGAATGCTTTAACCCACTCTGTGTATTTTCAGAATACTTGCATTTTATAAACACTCATTTTTTCAAAATTTAATCTACAAGTGTTCTACCATTAGCCACCATGTAACTAGGTGGTCAGCCCATATAATTTCCATTGTAACATTTTTCTAATGAGCACACAAAGTTTTCAATTTAATTTGGACACAAAAATTCCTAAGCCAAATCTCTACATCTGCCACTTCTCTCGACTTGTAAACAGTCTTTTTTTTTTTTTTTTATGACATATGCAAGTTGTTTTCATAAGACTTTGAAGGATAGGATATAGGGTGCAGATTGAATTTTGGTCAGTTGCCTTGCTAATAATAAGATTGAGCAGGAATTTCAATTATGAATTTGAAACTGAACTGGTAGTCCTCAACTTATAGCTATCAAGATTTGGTCAAGCATGGAGTCAGACCACCCAACCCAGCAATTATCAACAGCGACAGCTGTGCACGCTTGTTTAGGAACTGGATGGTTACATAAGAGTTGAGAAATCTCACAGGAGTCTTTCAACCACGTTTAAAAATACTAGCATCTGTTATCTTTGGCATAAGAAAAGTTAACATGACTGCCTTTTATTATCCTCTGATATTAGGCTGCGTTTACATGAAAAATCTAAATTCTAAAACCTAAAAATCCATTGGCGGTATCTAGTGATCATGGTCTGTGCCCTGAATACACTGCGCCGTAATTAACTAGCAGCACGAGCGAGTCGTTTCCAAAGCTGTAATGCATTCTCAGCTGCCCTCAGAGGAGATTATGACGCCTGGACGCATGCGTAGTTGTATCTCTAAACTGTGGAATTTGTCAGTTTGCACTCATATCTGTTGTGTGTAAATGGACCTAACTTTTCTCCGTCTTGTTGTTGCACAAAACCGCGAATGTCATTTTCTTTCTTTCGACGCATGCCTCCAGGTATCAGAATTTCCTTCCGAGCGCAACTGAGATTTAATTACAGCTTTGGAAGTAACTCGCTCGCTCTGCTAGTTAATTACCACGCGGGGCATTCAAGGCACAGACCGTGATCACTAGATAGCGCCAATGGATTTTAAGGTTTTTAGAATTTAGATTTTTCATGTGAAGGCAGCCTTAAGGGCCTTAACAAGTGTATAAGAAATTGAAGAACAGGCCTCTGAGGAAAAACACCCAATCAGGTTCAATGGCAAATTAGAAAATGTGTGCATTTTAGAATCAAATGCATTTAAGTGTTGCTTTATCATTTAGAAATAAATCTGAAATATACTACATTAGACTGAACTGATCTAATGATGAATCCCTTGTTCTGATACTGTACTAGGCTAGCAGGATATTTTAACTTTACCCACCACTGAAGCATGTCCTTCCCTTAGTGAAAGAATGATGAGGTCAGCTGCCTTCCCCACTTTTAGATCCAGTTTTTATAGCTAAAAATTATGTAACACAGCAACAGCTGACTCCCATCAATTTGTATGGGCTCAAAACCAAAACTTGTGTTCATTAAGACTGTATATTACTCTATCTACAGGTATTTAATTGCAAATTGCAATCTCTGTGTCATGGCGCAAATTTAGACTTACCTTCTGCTGGAATAAACAGTTGCACTAGAGTTTAAGGTCTAGCTAGTTCACTTTAACTCCACTTGATGGGTAACCAATGGTTTTTGAAAACTGACGAAATTTGTATGAGATGATGTACCTTTCAACCTACCAACATTTAAATAGTCACCAAGAATACTTATTTTCAATAAGATAAACAGGTCTATAGAACCATCACATTTCTGTCTCCACACATTATGATACAACCCAGCATGTCTTCACTAATTACATGTGAAAATATTTGATCATGCCCTCTTCTGTATATAAAAGCACTGTAATTAAATTCACTGAGGTAACTAACTATAGTATCATCTTGGATCTATCTCTAGACATGATACATCACAGCCAGACTAAGATTTTATCTCAGTAACTCTTTGACCATGCCTTTTTGTCAGTTAAAAAGTAATCATTTAAGCAAGGCCTGCAATTAACCTCTGCTAGGGCAGACAATCAGCCTTTGGTATGCCATGCTGGAGCCTAAAAATAATGATGCAGATGGGATGAGATGCAAATATTAGTGTATAGTATAACAGTCAGAGAGCAATACTTCCACAGCTTTGATATCCATCCCATCTGAGACAATCTGCAGTAATGACATCTTTTAATCAGTTATTGGTCCTACCATTTTAAAGAAAATGACCCGAGTATAAACCATCTATACATAAACGCCAATCTATTCAGTCTTAATACCAGCATCCTTCTTTGTGGATTCAGGGCAGACCCAATTCTTCCTCATTCTATTCTGAGCATTTGGTTGTTTTTAAATCACTTCCTAACAGATATTTATCACTAACATAAGTCATTCAAAAAGAAATTACCATACAACTTTTATATAACTTCTGTATAGTTGCTTAGGAGTTTATTTGCAGTCCCCCCCCCCCCCAACACACAACTCATATAAGTCTGTGATTTTCAATGTTGCTTTTTATTTGTTTATTTTAAGTGATGACTTGAAAATGTAAATATTATTGTCAGGTTTTAATAACCTTTTGGTTTAACTTTCACCGCTGAATGACCTCAATTCTTTTCTAAAAAGGCTTAAATTTTCTTCTAAGACATTGCTTACTTAGGAAATTTTCAGACTTCTCTAAATAGCAAAGACATTGATCAAACTTCATAAATGGATTTAGTGAAAATTAATGTATTACTGGGCGGAGGGGGTGCTGAAACATCACAAGTGTAATTTTCCAAAATTTGGTACAATTTGTTTACTTATAAACCAAGTAAAAATTTGCTTATAAATGCATTAACCTTTGGAGATAAATAAACACGTTAAGTCTTCACACAAATGCTCGATGTTTGACCTTTCCCGCAACGACTACCTAGGGGACCACACAAACATTTGGAGCCCAACATTTGCATGAAAAATGGCGGCAAGAGTTGGTTTTTGCATTCCAGGAGCAAGGGTACATCTCTACTTTTAATCCATACAAAACAATAAATTTATCCTGGAATTTAGTAAGATATACTATGGCTGCTTTAGTTCCTGGTTTTACTCTAAGATAAATGCAAAACATACCTTTCGTGCACCGCTTGCTACCATGCGTTCCCTGCTCTAGTCTTCGTTTGTGTCACGTGGTACGCCAATGTGCGCACGCATTATATATCTATAATGCTCATCGTGTGATGACATAACAGCATTTATAGCATTTGTAAGAAGACTACAAAGAAACTCAGTGCAGTTGTTTGGGGCGTCAGCATGGCTGTCGACAACACTTGTGACGTGTCGACAACACTTGGATTCTAGTACTGTATCACTTAAATTTGTATCACTTAAAGTACTAGGCCCCTATAGTAACGAAATCATTTAAATATAAACACGAACTTTTGCAGTATTCTCCTAGACTAATAGCCTATAACTCTGTGATATTTAATATTTTTTCTAAATTAATTTGTGTGGTGACTATTAGCAATATCGTCGCTCCTCATATAAATTAGTTTGGTAGTTTATTTACTAATTTTAAGATGTTTTTCAATGAAACCTTATACCTTCCAAATAGTATGAGAGTTGAGGTTATCGCTGGGATGAAAATTAGCACAAATGTCAATGGTAAAAAATAATTGTAGTTTTATTTAAAAAGATTTAAAAAAATAATAAGTTACTAAACTCCCAAACTAGTTTATTTTAAAAGCAGAGACATTGATCAAAGTCACCACGTAACTTTATTTTGATTAGGATTCAAATTTAAGAGTTACAAAGGGGGGGGGGGGGGTACTGCTGTCACGGTGTTATGTTCCTGGTATAGGCCCTATTGTTTTCCGGGATATCGTGCCACGGGGTTAATGGCGGCAGGTAGGGCCTAAATAACAACAAAGTCTTGGCATTTATTCAATCCAGTAAGATAGGCTTAAACTCTGAACGAGAGGTACTGACAAAGTAGGCTACACCTGAATAAATTAAGCTGCTTTCTCTGCAGATTGATAGGCCTACTGCTCAGATGATACAGGCCCTACATGTAGGGGCCTACTTTAGATGGAACAATACCGCTTATAGAACGGAGGCCCAATGTAATGAACGACAAACTCTAAGAGCGGGCTTACCCTTTATCTGTTTTGACCACCGGCCAAAATGATGATCAAGTTTCCATTGTAGGCCTACACGTCATATTTTTCACATAGGCCTATACTCTATTGGGCCTACCATGGTCAAAGATTTCCTAAATGGGGGCTAACTATATATTTTGAGCAGATCATTCCTATTTATTCTCCGGTCTCCATTTTGTTTTGATACATTCTTTTAGCACACTTTCTTCCTTTATTCTTAATTCAGCACCATTTGAGTAACAATGGATCGCTATAAGCTAGGGCCTACTCCAGTGGAATTTCTTTGGTATTCTGCAATGGTCACTAATTACAGTTAATTACACATGAATTAATATGATTAAAGATACTTCACTCACGCTTATAGTCTATATTATTTTGCTTTACATTAATTCTTTAAATCATCATGCATAAATAAAATCATTATGGCACTGCCAAAGGATCGATAAACATAGGCCTACTCCTTTGTACAGTACCTATATTTTTCTTTTTTTTGTGTGTGTGTGAAGTGATCAGCCGAGGTGGCCAAGGAAGTAGGCCCTACTGTCGCCTAGATCGGTTAATAAAAACCGGTTAAATTAACCTGAAACGACTTTAGGCTGCCAAACTAGTCTATCATAACGATCATTTTTTTAACGAATTTCATACAATCACCACATACCCCATAGAGACAATAAATACTATAGTCATCACTTTATGAACAAAATAATTACGGAGACGGCAAATAATTAGCAGTATGTGGCAAAGGCATAGACAGTACAAATAATTGGACACTTGTATCCAGGGGCGGATCCAAGATTATTTGAAGGATTGGATCCGGTTTCTTAGGAATGGCAGGCCTCGGATGCGAAGCTGACCCCCCCCCCCCCCCTTTGGCGTGGGGTTTGGGGCTCGGTGAAGGGCCCCGAAAGTTTTTGGTACTTAAGCGGGCTAACTGTGCCATTTGGTACGGTTTAGAACTATGATTCAGCTAGTCAAAGTTCTAATTTCAAGAGGGGAGCATGGTGTGATTTTTTCAGAAGTAGAAGGGGGAGGGGGTTCAAAAGAAATAAAAATGTTTAACATGCTTAGAAGTGTCGCACTTCTAGCTATGTGATTAGTTTCACCGGTCCCATACGTTTATTACAAGGCTCAACACTTCCCCTTGTAAACTTGTGGAGCTGTTGAAGGCGTGGAGCAGCCTGCTCTAACGCTTGGTGTCCTCCCTTGCAGTAACGTGTGCTTATTTAAAATAGGCCTATTAAAGATGATACAAAGTCAATTTTTTGCCACAAAAACCAACCAAATGCCAGCATATAGTTTCAAACAGTATAATTAAGAAAATTCCCACAAGGCATTGTTTAATATTACCCGAAAAACGATATTTGAATGGATTTTTTTTTGCTAGTTTAGAGAGCATTCACATCGAGAAGAGCCGAGGTCTAGCAAGGCCGAGACCTAAATATGGCGGACCTACATGAAAGGAAACCGCGCAATCCTTTAATGGTCTCTCAATGAATGTCTATGAATGTCATTGTCGGCGACTAGAGCGTGCGAATTGTATTAATGCCATATCGTGTATTTTGGAATAAGATTTCATTTGTAATAGTATCTTATCACGGCAGAGAATTCCGCCATAAGCTTATTATATGGAAGAAATCTGCAGTAAAACCATTAGTGGGAGGAGGACGACAATGTATTATCACCCACAGTCTGATGGACTAACTGGTAGGTAAATTTTCAAAAACGGTACATATTTAATGACAAATGTATAAAATATGTAACCACTGTACATTTGTACATCTCACCCAATTTACGACTAGGCTTAACATGATGCTGCTTTCGAAAATCACTGACAAGTAGACAAGGCGGGATGAACGATTAATTGATACTAGGATCCAAAATAAAATTTTGGATCCTAGATTGATACAAAATCTATGTGCACTGAAATTTGAATTGTTCTTATCTGTAACCATTTGATCACGACATTAGCCGGTATACCACCACATAAAATGGTTCACTAAATGGACAGTTCAATTAAATATTACAGAAAGCTTTGACCAAACTATACCGTATATGGTTGCTAAATCTACTTTGGACCCACGAGTGGGACTAGGACCTAGTAGGATGCATGTTTTCCTACAAAACTTCCCAGGGAGAGAGCACCCCATACTATATGGTTTTTTGGCATGTAAGTAAATGAGTAAGCAGGCACCATTTTATAGCAACAACACTTTTACTGTTGATGTTTTCTCTCTCTCTCTCATTTATGTATGTGTGTGTTTTTATTTTCATTGAAACTTTCTGTTAACCCATAATTTGTACTGATTTCACGGGACTGCCATTTCTTGTTCTACCACCGGCTTGTGTAGAGGTCGTATACGGACAGCCCTGGGTTAATTCAAATGTGTGTTTTTTATTTCGTTGCATGTACATGTATGATCAAAGACATACCGTTTATGAAGGTTGATGAAGAGAGTCGCGTTCTAATCACTCGCGATTCGAAATCTCTGCATCCAGTGGCGGATTTGGGGGGGAGGGGGTCAAGGGTTTCCTTTTCTGAAAAAAAGGTTCCTCTTGAAATCAGAATTTTGACAAGGTGAATCATAGTTCTAAACCGTCCCAAATGGCACTTTTTGCCCTCTCATTTCCCAACATTTTCGGAGCCATTCAGCAGGCCCTGAACCCCACGCCAAAAGGGGGGGGAGACGGATTTGCACCCACGGACCCCCCCCCCCCCTCCTTTCAAATAATCCTGGATCCGCCCCTGAATTCATTATGTCGCGCATAGAAAAGCACACTGGGTGATCACGACAGTGACCGAATTTCAACTCATGAACTCTTGTTGACGATATATACTCGAAATAACAAACCAATTATTCCAATTAACGTGACGGTTACAACGTCATTTCCTACCTAAGTATACCTGTCTGGCAGCTCTCAATGCACGCTACTCGAGACTTGAGCAAGGCCGGCAACGTGTTTCGGTAATTTCATGCTCAGCGGCAATTAATCAGAAAGAGTGGGAGATATATAAATGACCAGCAAACGCTGATCTGCGTCACTTGTGCGCAACGACTGCACAGAGATTTCAAATTCAACAACATGGTCATCATCCGCCTTAGGGACCATTCAGATCGAGAAAAGCCGAGTGCTAGCAAGGCCGCGACCTAAATGTGGCGGACCTACATAAAAGGAAGACCGCTAATAAATCCTGTAATGGTCTCTCGACCTCTCACACGCCTCCCCACGCGTCGTCCCTGCAGAGGTACAGTAATTATATCTCGGCTCAATTCAACCGGTCGAGATTCGACGCGTGGGGAGGCAAATGAGAGGCGGAGAGACCATTACACGATTAAGTGGTCTTCCTTTCATGTAGGTCCGCCATATTTATGTCGCGGCCTATCTTGCACTCGGCTCTTCTCTATCTGAATTTACTGTAAGCGCGCTAATATTTGTTCAGTTTGGCCGTGAAAATGGTCAACCTGCTGGATTAGCGTAAAATCGCCAAACGTTGAGATTTTGGACGCTTGCGGGATCCACGAGAGACCCAGAATATCTAAGAGATGGAGTGCAAGGGATGACCACTAAAAAGACGCCCATTACTGAGGGAAGAATTCACAAGGGAATCACACAAGAGTCGCCCACTGCTGAGGGTAGAATTCACAAGGGGATACCACAGATGTTGCCGCCCACTACTGAGGGTGGAATGTACGTGAACGCCACACTAGAGTCGTCCACGTGCATTCCGCCCTCAGTAGTGGAATGCGCGTGGACGTCACACTATAGTCGTCAACCACTGAGGGTGGAATGCACAATGAAACCACAAAAAGAGTCCCCCAGTCAAAAGTATATATTTCGAAAAATATCTGACAAAGTAGTGAAACCTCTTCTTTCCTCTCAGACGTGACTCTGACGTCGTGTAGATGGCTCTGTGCAAGGGGAGGTAAATACAGGATCCAGGTCCACTGCAACTGCTATCCTCTGTGTGTGTCCAGTATGGTGACTGCTGTTATGGGGTGACAGAAAATGCGTCGGTGTGACAGAAAATGCGACGATGTGCGCTGCCTCTGTCAGATTAAGAAGGACACACGACACAAT